CAAGGTAGGGTTTTGCCTTGGGTTTTTGTTGTAATTACACATGTTTAGTTGATGTGAATGGAGCATTAATTTCCATTTACAGTCTTAGTAATGAAATGTTTCTGTCCTACCTTGCCCATCTCTCTCCTCATCCGAAAACATCCAAGTATCATCATACTTGTCTGCTAGAGAGCAATCCATGTATATTGTACAAACCCTATATAAAATAGCATTAAATGAATTTAATGAATGCATTGTATGACAGAAAAGTGAACCATAAAATTGAAGAAGAAAAAAATTAACAGGGTGCGTTCGATTGCTCAGTATTTTCACAATTAACAAAAAACACAATGAACTCTAAAAATCACTTGTTTTTGCCTGTAGGATTCCACTGGTCCAAAAATCATTGCAGAGGAGCAACCAGGCGATTTGTCTGTGTATTCTTGTTCCAAAATACAATCAATTGAACACACCCTTAAAACACTGATACAATTTCTTACCTTCCAACAGGAGTATAATGCAACTTTTGACATCAAAATATTGAAAAGGGTCTTCGTCGCAGCTCTTAAGTTATTTTTGCATAGTAGGTTTTTGTGTGTGCTGTGTGCACAATAGGCGCTGTGGTGATAGGCACGCTGAGACATTGAAATAGAAAGAGAATAAAGCGCTGAAGGTGATAACATAAGGGTATTTAGATGTAAGTGGAACAACGTTAATGTGACCACTGTTGGGCCATAAAATGTTGGTCGTAGTAATGAGGGGGCCGTATTAATGGGGTCTTTAAAATAATAATAAAATGACCCAGTGATTTTTATGTTTGGTTGTATAAACAGGGTGGTCGTAAGGTTCTAGTTTACTTGCATAATTAGTGACTATTAAATTTCTAGGCGCTTGTCACTTTTTGAAACAAAAAACAGCAAGAAAGCAGATTTGTCAACTGACGCTTCTGTCTACGCTGAGCTGCACCTTCAACATCTTCAACAATTTCTCGTCAGGGTCGTGGTTCCCTTGAACGAAACGAGTACCCGCAATCCAGTGACATAAGAACGAATGAAATGAAAGGAATGAGAAGTGCCCACGCAAAGCAACCAAATCTAAATCGTAATCGCCATTTACTGATGAAATATTACACAATTATTGGAAGGGATTAACAGACAATTCACATTTCGCCCTTCTGTTGGTTTCACTGCACACAAATTCAAAGTTATTCCAACCAATTAAAGGAGAAAAATACAAATTAATTGATTTAGCATAGTACGCTTTTGTTTTTGTACAACAAGCATTGTAGTGATCCGCACGCAGGGCTAATAAATGCATGCCAACTTTTTAATTTATGCCTTGCGTGTATTCTAGTCACTCAATACTTTTTAGGATAAAAACAGCGAGAAAGCAGATTCGTTAATACTTGAAAGCTTTAATTTTGTTTAAAGTTGATGTTGACAGACTGTGTTGATACAAAATTTTACAGTAGATTGAAACAGCAGATAGTTACTGGTGTTCATTTACACGCAATTTGCTCCGGAATACTGCACGTTTAGGAGAAAGAACTCACTGTTTAACATTGTGTGCAGACACCGATATGATGTTTAAGCAACTGGAACGTTGATTTCTGACAGGATAGATAGAGATTAATCTGATTGAGCTACGATTTCATCGGAATTTCTTGAAATACACTGAAAGCTGTCGGAATTGGAAAAAGCCGATATGGCAATCAGAAACCAAATTTCCAATATTAATTTGGAGATGCTCCCTAGGTAGTCACAGCAATATCATTCAGAATCTTGGTTTTTTTAATTTAATATCCTTATTCGCATAACGGGAGTGGTTGTACATCATCATACATCTTGATTAGATCTTACATACAATGTAATTGTCTCTCACCTCAAGATCTTAATTTGACCATATATATAACTTGTAAGATTACCCAAGAACTTGCAAGTATTTTTTTTCCGCAGATGTTGCCACACAGTGAACTAAGAACTACCATAATCTGTTATCAAGATTAATAAGACCTTGTCAAGATCTCTGAAAGATCTTGTCAAGGTCATTGAAAGACCTTGCCAAAATCACTGAAGTGATCCCCGAATCAGGGAAAATTACATCATTGCCAAACATGATCAACCTAATGTGTCATTTCAGTCATCCCCAAAAATAAACTGCATGCTCATCATGCATACTCATTTGCATACAATAAAAGTCATCACCATTCTAATCCCCAGTTTCCACAGTCTATGCTAGGAATGCTTGGGACCATGGCCTACCATTTGGTGCCCATACACAAAGAAATAAATGAAACGCCTGCATTTTTAGAGTCTCGCTCTGCTAAAGCAAGCTTGACTAGTTACAGCTAGCAGGCGCTTGGAAGTAGCGGGCAAAAGAGAGAACGGGCGCGCCCGAGGGAGACACGCAAGGGGTGAGGGAGCGCCTGCACAGAAAGCCCCCGAAAATCGTTTCAACTCGCACTCTGTGAGTGCGGATATTTCCAATTGGCCGAGAGGCTCCCGAGGGAAAAATTAACCGCGCAGGGCGAGAAAACTGTCAATCAATAGTACATGGACGACGTAGTGAAGATCTTGCATTACACCACTGGGTCCTGAAACCACTAAATTGTATACAATCGAAGTTCAGGTCTCGGAGGTCACTTCAATCTGGTTTAATGGGACTATGTGGCTGTAAAAGTTGGAAAGTGTTGGAGTGTTTAAATGGTATTCACGATGGAAAGAATTGACATCGGATACGCATCAACAGAAGTGGCGAGAGACAAAAGATTTGTCGAATCGTTGCAATGAAGATCAGAGGAAATATTCTTTGCTCAGGAGAACTTGGCGGCTTGTGCTGTCGATGGAACGTATACCATCAAAACTTGGACATGATTGATGAACTGAAACACTTACCAGGGGCATGAATTCGAAAAAAACATTTCACTATTGTATTATTTGCCGTTCGCAGGCGACCTGAGGTCTGTTGTTTATGTCTCACTACTGCAGTAGAAAACATGTTGCTACAGTTTGTGTTCTGAGGTTTAGGTCCCCTTAGTAAGACATGTCTGCTCCAAAAACGGCTGCCAGTGAGCGCAGTAAAAGCAATGTGGTCATTTTCCACGTACGCTGTGATGGTTGGTGTCTGACCAGAACAATATTTTTAGTTTTTATAATACACAGCATGCATTCTTTAAAAGATACCCAGTTTTTACTTTGTTATTTCCTATTTATTGTGCCCACGTTAAAAAACGATTTAAAGCTGTGTGTTAACCATCAGTTTATTGCTCCATCGCTCTATAATCAGATAACCCAGCTGATCTTTATAACAGATATATTTAGACCGAAGATAAAATGTACAACACTTTTTGGCGGCTTGCTTTGTTTGTGCGAGGTCAGTCGTTTTCTGTCAAAACTTTTGACAGATCACGCAACGGCTGCCAAGTAATTAGAGAGGGGGCGGGAAACGATTTTCGGGGGCCTTCCATGCAGGCGCTTCCTCTCCCCTCGCGTGTCTCCTTCTCGCGCGCCCGTTTTGTCTTGTGCCCACTACTTCCAAGCGCATGCTCACGCATAGATGCAATTTGTTTTTAGAACCACAATGTTGTCCAGGTGTGTTCTTAGATTTCTTATCAGTACAGTAGAGCTCAGAGATAAGTGACCAACGCACACACAAAACACATGCATGTTTTTTCCACTAACGCGAAATCGTTAACTAGTTTGAAAGCATGTTTTTAAAACTATCTTTCGCTTTTAAATAAATAAAAAATAAAAAATAAAGCTTCCGAACTGTCAATATGAATGAATGGTTCTGTCAAAGTCTGGCTGAATGACTGACAATATACCTTCCAATCTTTAACTAAATGTATAACAAAATAAAAAATCGAGAACAAGCTATCCAGAATTGGGTTGAGGATTGAGTCTCGCAAGACAGAGAACAAAGATTCATCCAAGACTGATTTTTCAATCGTTTTACATAGACATACAGCTGTAACACAACACAGCATGGTTTATTCACGCAAGGGACTGCATGCTCGAAACAAGAGCAATTCAAGTTTTACTAAGCGGATGTTTTTTCAAGGACATCTGTATCAAGCTTCATTTTCTCAAGTATGGTTTCAAATGCCAGCTCCAAATGCAAACAAACAGTGTTAACTCAAATACAAGCAGGAAGATATATAACAGCATGTTTATTTTGTAAAGTCAAATGATTCTGGGCTTATCTGGCCACCAGGCAAAGATCAGCTGTAACACAAACATCTGTCCATAACATGACCAATCTTTGGCTCTGAAATTGTGTTTGTGATCTTTGAAAACTTCCGAGAAAAAAAGGTTTTAATTCTACTAGGGGTGCGTTTGATTGGGAAATCCGAATTTAGATTTTCAAAATCTAAATCCGGATTTCACTTCCGAGAAATCCGTCCTCAGGGTGGATTTCAATTAAGAAATCCAAATCCGGATTTCATGGACTTCCTTTTTACCGTTCGATTGGGAAATCCGAAAAAGGATTTGCAAAACTATTCTCGTGAACAGTGGTCTTCTTTTTGCTAAGTATGCGTGCGCGTGCAAGACCGCTGTTCTTAAGGACCATTTTTCAAATCCTTTTTCGGATTTCCCAATCAAACGATAAAAATGAAAATCCAAAAATAGATATCTCAGTGTTGAAATTTGATTTCAGATTTCACGTTCGATTGCAAATCCGAAATCCGGATTTTTAAAATCTAAATCCAGATTTCCCAATCGAACGCACCCTAGGAAATATAGCATGGTGTTTAAAGTTTGAGTTAATATCTTGGAAAATTGGGCTTGAACATGATACGCGTGAACTTTTGTGTTGCCTAGCACGTGACTGCAACTACTGTGATGAAAAATTGTGTGATGTTTCAAAAGTGGATTGTATTGCACAAGATTGTATATTGTTTTCAAAGCTCTTGGAGGTTTCTAAAGTTTTCTTAAGCTTTACATATATATTTAAATCGAAACTTTTATGTACGCAAGATTTCACATCTCACAAAAAGAGAAGAGGCAAAATATCAAACTGAGATGCTATCGCATATCATGAAAACATCAATTCAGGTAAAGTGGTCAAATTAGAAGTAAAGTTTCAAGCAGAAAAAAACACCCTGACTGTAGATGCTGATGACCAGCAATTTAACTCCAGGATTCAACTGCCAATAAACATTCACAAACAGGCAGTAAAAAAAAAAGAGGCCAGTAGAATTCGAAAGACAAGCCAAAGAACAAAAGCAACAAGGGCTTTGTTTACACACCATCGCGTATTTAACTGTCATTTATTTACACAAACGTCCTTTCATTTTGGATTTGACAGAAAAAGGCCATGGATTGCTTTTCAAGTTCAACTACCGAACTGCCAACTTCTGAACATTTTTATTAAGGTTTTGACACAAAGCCCTACCAAAGAATGCAAATTTCCTGAAGAGTTGTCAACTGCTCCTGTATCTTGAATTTGCATAGTTCAGGAATTTCTCGCACGAATTAACACTGAGTAGAATTAAATTGTTATTTTATAGAGCAGAAAGTTTTTTCTGATGTGAGAGAAGTTAGAAGATTACTCAAAACTTAGTCTCCAAGCAAGGTCTCCAAGTAAGTTTGTTTGTTTGTTCTTCATTTGTTCTATTTAATATTGTGAAGTCAAGCAACGATTACTATTTAGAATCGAAACCCTGTTCAGTCTTCACCGAATCGTGTAGACATTGTTAAGCCTTTTGTTGCCACTGTTGCGACAACAATAAAATGGGAACAATATGCTAGGTCATACATACTGATCACCTCTGATGGAAGCCCGTTTTTGAAGCACGTTAGGTAAACTGATTCGCATTGACATGGACACTTAATCTTTGAACTAAACTGTACATGTAATGACAAGATCGACCCAATATCATTGAAAGACCTTGCCAAGATTGTTAAAAGGTCTTCTCAAGATCATTGGAAGATCTTATCAAAATCTTACCAAGAACTTGCTGCTTCTTGGATGATCTTACAGGATCTTTTCCATAATTATCTTGCAGGATCTTACCAAAGATCTTGCCAAGGTTATCTTGCCATGATTTCCCCAAGATCTTGTCAAGATCTTACCAAGGTTCTTTCCTAACTCATGGAATGCCACAACAGGCAGACCATGCAGATGTTGTGTCTTAGCTTCATTTTCTGACCTTTTGCTTCGTTTGCATGGAGAGAAAGTGTTACGCATGAACACGCCATTCTCATGCCGTGGTATTTTTGCATGAATTAAAGTTGTCTATTTGCACTGACATTGACTTCAGCATGAATAAAAATTACATTCCTGACAATCAAAAGAAGATCTGTCTATTTCATAAACTTTAGTTTCTTTGGGTGATCATATATAATTATTTGACAATATTTTTATGATAAGCAGAGACAATGAAATACCTGAGAAGTCCCCCACATTAGCACTGCTGAATGTTACTGTCCCCTTCTTTCCACTCTGACTTGCTTTCATCGGGAAATAACCTCAATGTCAGATCCAAGTTTGCCAATCACAAAGCAGTTTGTTCCTTAATGATACATCAAAAGATACTATTAGAAAGGTGTGACAAAGGACAACTTATAGTTATAATTTGTAATGGTAATTGGACTAAGTGTAATACAATCTGAGAATAATCATACATGTATGAGCCCATAATCATATGAAACTTTCAGGTTGGAAAAACATTCTGCGCATCACTTATCGCAGGCTCAAGGTGGGCTTTTCTGTGTGTTGACTGTCTTTGCTTGTCACTGAGAGAGTTCTGACCCGAGACTGAATGAAATGCACAAGTTGCAATCGTTTGCTCCTTGTAAAGAATTTTTATTTAACATGTTTTTTTTTTTTTCATCCCTTGAAAATTACTTTGGATTCAGAATAACCAAAGGTAAAGGAAAAATGGATCATTCAGTCAGTCAGAGGCGGAATAAAAAGTTTTGAACATTTCCAAAGGGGCAAGTATTTTTCTGATTGTGCATTTGAATAATTTGTAAGTGGATTTTGTGTGCAGCGTTTCACCTTAATTCTTTCACCGGGCTGAATTACAACCCACTCGTATTCTCTTATAAGTAGTAGTTATAGTTACTTTTTTTACATGCCCAGATTCATTACCTTTGCAGAACCAGGTTTATCCTAGTCTTCAGTCAAAGACCCATAATGATGTTATAATGCATGAGACTGAACAAACTTTTGTGCTTAAAATTTTCTCGGAAATAGAAGGCAAGCAAGCTTACTTGAGAAGAAAAGACTACTTCAATCATTTTTCTGTTTCTCAAGTAATAATAGTCAGAATTTTTTTTCATTTTCAGTTACATAGTTTTGTTTTCCACTGCACTGTGAAAGTTTCTGTTCCTTACACAAAAGAGAAGTAGAAAACAAAGTTGTGTGAAGTAGAGAACGACAACTGCCGGCAGTGACTTCAAAACAATGGACTCTTTGCCCGCAGAGAATTGCTGGAGCTGGATTTGACTGAGACGAGCAAAACAAACCCTTAAGTGCAGTTTTCTGTATTTTGTAATAATTGGCTGAGTTCAATTTGCTTGAATGAAGACCCTTGCATGGACCTGTGATTAAAAATAGCTAAATGGTCAATCATGGCTCGGCTGCAAAGCTTTAAACTGATTTTTTTGGCTTTTGAGATCTTTAGGGTCCTTTAAGTAGGTTGTTTTTGTACAGAAAATTCATTTCTTCATTCTCAGCAGGTATAAGAGCCTTCAGCCTTATGTTTTTTTTTAATGATAATTTGTTGTTTTGCAACCTTATTGAAGTTTTTGGTGATGACATTGTTCTTTGCTTGTCGTATCTCTTTGCGAGCTTAAAGTGATGTCTTTGGTCCTTAAAGTGACTCCTGTCGGTAATTAAATCATATACATAACTGGAAAGAAGTTTTGCAATGATGTAATAATGTTTGAAGGAAACCCTACTATGTGTAGGTTTTTGACAGATGTTATGTATGTTCAACTTCACAACTACACACACAGCAAAATTTATTTGCACGGAACGATTGAGTTTTAAAAAAGTATAGTTGCTTTGAAACTGATTTTGGGGAAGATTTTACTAGCTAAAGATTGGCTATTTTTCTGTACACATATCCATGCCAAAACTTCTGCATTGAGGATTTTGTTTATATTTCAGTGATCTGCAAAGCTACAAGTGTCCAATCGAGCGTGGGTTTTAAAATATCAGCTCCAGTGCGAGAAAGTTCAGTGACTTCAAAAACACATTGTGGGCATGCGTTAATTTTTGGGGGCAAATCACTGTAAAAAGATATTTTGTTTTTGTGTCCACAGTGGGGTTCTGGACCTGATATATCCAGAAACTTCCTTGTATGAACACATTTTGTGAATACATATTGAAAATAATTTTTAATAGTGTTTCATGAATGATAACTTAATTTTAATTGTAAATTTTTAAGGGTCAGACAAGATACAACCTAAACACTTTAACACCTTATATCTCTAATTTCCTCTAAGCACACTTGTATACTTAAAATACATGTCTCTTTTCTTTATTTTTAAATGCCGCCCAGCATTTTTAGGGGAAAATCTCTATTCCTCATAAGCTCTGCTTCTCGAAGATTTCCCCGCCACAGCCACCCCTTCCGAGTTGTATGCTCATTTTGAATTTAATATTAATTAACTGTTTATTTATCTTTTCTATTCTACTTGTAATTTATTCTGTGTGGCAAATTAATGAAATAAAATAATAAATAAATAAAATAAAATAGCTTTGATATTGTTTGAATCATTTTTATTTCTTTAATGTTTCATTTACAGTGGCATATCTGTGAACTAGCTGGTGAAGTTTTCTTTTTTGTGTCCAAAGCAACACTAAAAAAAACATGCAGGCATCAGATGAGATGACAAGTTTCTCTTTCAGGGCAGAAAAATGTAATGAGCAAGCATGAACTTTTTTGGTTCTAATAACGGCATGAGTAGGTTAACTAACCCATGAAGCTAAGAGTGTGCATTATTTAAAATATAGCATCTTATCTTATCTTATCTTAATGAACTAATTATTCACATTGCCAGGTTGAATTTTTCAACCGCTGAATTGCTAAGTGTAATGTTTAAATAGAAGGTTTCAATGAATGAATTGAAATCAAAGGTGGGCAATTCCACCCTTACGAACATTACACTCAGAGAGCATTTTTTAACTTTGATCTCCTGTCTTGCTCACAATATGCAGTATATTGCTGTTTTGCATTAACCACATTGCACCATAATGACATGCCTTTTCCTCAATAAAAAAATACTCGGAGAACAAATTTTTAGCTCCCTCTGATTTTGACTGAAAGGCCTGTTACGGACATTACAGCTAAAACAACCACCAATTTTAATCACGACTTTTAAGGCTAAGTTCCTGTGATTTATGAAACGTTTAAAGGAAACAAATGCATATTTCCTAGTGGCAAATGCTGAAAGTTTTCTTCAGTTATATTAAATTTCTCTGAGGCCTATCCTAACTGTTTTGGTTCCCTAAAAGGATGTGTTATGTACATTATACCAAGCATTACGGACATTACTGTCTGTGAATTTTTTCTTCAAAATTATATTATGTGTACTACGATGCAAAAAAATTGCTTATTTCATTTATTTTTATGTGTTAAGTTTACCATCAGCAACATATAGAAGCCCTGAAAATTAAATGAAAACAAAAGCACACAAAAGCTGTATTGTAATAATTACATTCTTTGAAAGGAAACCACTGATCAGTAGTTTTAATCAAATTGTGACATCTCATTGTACTCTGAAAGTTACATGAACTGACCGACTGGCCCAGCCAGGATGACGTTGATGATGGTCACATCTCTTGTGTGTTTTATGGCCCCGTCATCCTAGAGAGTGCTGGCCCATTTGCTGTCCCAAAACAGCAAAAATTGAAAAAGTGTTTAAAGAAATTAAAAAGCAAAGAAAGTCTCATTAAGATGCTACATGGCTGATCAGTTTTTAGGTGAATAAAACAATTTTTGTCTTTTGAGAAGAACATGTTTTCTTACTCAACACTGTTTGAATTTCTTGTTATGCAAATCTGAAACTTTTGTTTAGCTTTAGCATTATTTCATTCATTGTGGATAAATTATAGAGCTCAGTTGGTACCCTAACTGTCACTTGGTTCAATACCTTTGGATATTTGAGTAAAGATGCTTAAGAATACTTAAATTTCATTTTTCCTTAGAGACTTGTAATGTTATGGACATTACGTTACGGACATTACCTATCTTTGAAATAGTTTCTATGATTAAAAAGCCTACTAGAAATAAAAAGCTTATCAGACAAATGATGGTACTAACAAATCCAAGGAGCAGGAGAAGTTATTTTGATTTAAGAGTTAAATCCTGTCTGACACAAAGAAAGAAGTGAAATTTTTGTTATGGACATTACTCATCTACTTAGATATTTTCAACTAACCAAAAATGGGGAAAAATTATCGAAAACCATCAAATTTTTTTCTCATGTGAAAAAAAGGCTTATGGTCTAATTATACCACAGTTTCAGTGGACTGGATTGATTTTGATATTTTGACAAATTGTTCCTTAACTTGCACCTTTGGGTCCCATATTTTCCTTGTTTATATGACCTATTGAGTAGTAGACCCCCTGCGGAGTGCAGAAGAGCGAAAACCGAAATGACATGTATGTTTTTAATACAGTGATGTGTCTTCTCTTTACTGGCAGAGAAATTAATTCCAATACCCTTCTTTTAATAATTGCTGATTTTTCACTTCTCATGTGGAATTGCCCAGGTTCGGATTTAAGTTTGAACCTTGGGTTCAAAATAAACTATGAGTTTATCATTCACAAATCATTAATTGGAACCAAAAGCATTTAGATTTGTCAGACACAAATCACTTTGGGGCTGTGAATGTAAGACTCCGTCCACAAACAAGAACATTTTCCTAAGAAAACAAGTAAATCAAGCTACAATCAGTTGCAAAAATACTCAAGACATTGTACTGTATTTAGCTTAAATGGCCTGTCCATGATCTCATGCTTGTGATCCCCCCCTCACCCCTTATCAAAGTTGCTAGCAATACAAGACCATGCTCAAAACTTGGATGGACAACTTTGAATGCAAGGGAGGAGGGAGGTCAGTATTGTGTCTCACAGACCTGAGACTAGCAGCAATTTGAAGCAAGCAAGGTTGTTTTTCCTCGGAGTGTCTCAACATTTTTGCAACTAGTTGCTACCATATTTATTCGGCTATAAGCTGAGCAATTTTTACACAAATTTAAGCTACAGTTGAGTGAAATTTGAGCCCAAGAGGGGCTTTCGGCTTATAGCCAAGAGTTTTTGAAAAAAAATATTTTTGAGTGGAGTGAAACTCTACTAAATGGGGATGTACCCACTTATAAGCCAAGCAAATAGCAGCAAAAGATCAAATCCATGGCATAACTACGAACGTGAATGATAAGTTAGCTAAGCAAAGAAACTCATTCCCAAATTGTCAAAATATCTAACAAAAACAGGTCTCACAATTAGAGTTACACATTGGTAAGCCTTTTACAATGAGGGAAGGTCTAAAACAAATGATAGATGTTAAGAAATGTGTAAACAATCCGCCATGTTTGGTCAAACATGTGCTTCAAAACATTTGCCTGGTTACTAAGCACGGAAGAACGCAATGTGAACTGCTCAGCTTTGTTAGACAATTTCTGTGATCATTTGAAGCACAATTCAATGAAGACACGAGGAAAGATTGATAGCGGAAAAAAACCCAAGCAACAATAATTGTTTACAACTTCAATCGGGTAAGCTGTTTATGTCGTTTAGTCAACCCGTTAAGCAAACCGTTCAGAAAATCAAGGGTCTCTGCTTAAAGCCAGGTGAATAAATACGGTGGCTTCTATCAGTAGAGTGATGGACGATTACTATACTCTGTCAGCAGAGGCTACATTTTCCCAGTGTGAGTGAAGTGTTTAGCAGTACTTTTTGCTCAGCACCTCACACTGGGAAAACGTTAACTCCACTCGCAGGGTAGATGATTAAAGAAATTCCCTGAACTGGAACAATTAAATTCTGTACTGACGTATGCCTTATTAGAATGGAAAAAAACTAGACTAGAATGTGTGAAAAAATACTTGAAATGCCAAGGAAATTTTGATCAACACTGCATACTAACTGACCTGACCCATCACATGGGGTGCTTACCATTTGACGGAAAATTTCGGAAATTCTGGATGGAAGGTAAATGGTAGGATCACTTTTCGGAAATTCCAATCGGAAATTGAGGAGTACGTTTTGAGGTAGTCCTTTCATTCCGGTTGGTACGAACCAAACGGAATGTTGCTTACCATTAACCAATTTCTCGGTTCCTTGCAGTTCCAGACTCACGCTACACAAATTCGCCCTTTTTTGGATTCAAACCGTAACGGATGTGGCATTTCTACAGTAAACTGGTAAATCGCTCACCATTATGCTTTCGATACCCCAACCGGATTTTTCTATCAAATGGTAAGCACCCATGGAATCTTGTGTTTCCAGCTTTTATTTCACCTATTGTTTGTTTTATGCATGAAGATCTTCATTATACATCACAATATTTCAAAGAGCTACACAACAACCAAGACGACGACGACAGACAAAACACAGTGTGTGGGCTGCAGTAGTGTCAACTATTACTAGTTATAAGATGACACCCTTTTTGATCTGTATAATTCTTCGACTCATTCTCAATCTCATCCACATAACAATTACCGTAAATCCTCTATTAACCCCCCAAGGGACATATTTATTTCAAGACCATATGAGGGGGAAGGGGCGTAACCCTTTAAGACCGAATAGGACAGATTTGTACGATGTTGACCTGGGTAACCATCTTGAATAAATTATAAGCTGCTTGGCTACTAAGCCAAACTCAAAGGGTATCCTGGGAAAAAACGATCTCTGACCTCCATTTTACAAGTGTTTTGAGTTTGTACACCAAATTTTTTGGCATTTTCAAGCGAACAACGCTCATCCTTTTTCTTTGTGGGAATTTAAAAATGGTGACTGCCAGATTCTCAGTAAACGAAATGTGACGACTAGTTGAATGGGATGAGCCTGTTTAAAATATTTCAGTAGAAGTAAAGGTAATGTATCAACGATGGAAAGCTCAATAGACAGTGACAGCGAGGAGGGCAACAGGTCTGGCGAAAATGAAGGAAAAGCCAGCTCAGATAAAAAAGAACTGAATTTTTTGGCATTTTCAAGTGAACGAAACAACGTTCATCCTTTTTCTTTCTGGGAATTTAGCGAGTGTTATTGATAAGCATGCACCATTCAGAAAAAAAAGGGTTAAAAACAAACGCTCTCCCTGGATTACTAATGAGCTGCTGCATGAAATACACAAAAGAGATTTTCTAAAAAACAAAGCTACATCTACAATTATTGACCCTTTGATTTGGAAACAGTTTAAAGATTCAAGAAATAAGGCCAATAACTCCATGAAGAACACTTAACGTAAATACTTTTCTGAAAACCTTGATGCAAACAAAAGTGATCCTCATAAAACCTATCATTAATTATTAATGAACTCCAATCTCAGCAAAGTAAAACAACCAAAGTGTCTCAAGTCAAAACAGGAAACCAAGTTCCACCTGAACAGGTGATATCGCTAGAGCATTTAGGAATCATTTTACAAACATAGGCCAATCTCTAGCACAAGAAATTATTCCTAGTTTGGAAATTGACCCACTTGCCTATGTTAATCCTGTTGACGGAGTATTTTCTTTTCAATGGATTAATGTTCAAAAAGTCCTCAAATTACTTTCGGCTATCGATATAGATTAGGCAACTGGGTCTGACAAAATTCCAAACAGGCTTCTGAGGATTGCTGCTGATGTTGTCACACCCTCTTCAACAGGCATCTTTAATCAATTGTTAGTGACTGGTATTTTCCCCTCTGACTAGAAACTGCCTAAAGTGTCACCAGTTTTTAAGAATGGTTCTAAGTCTGACCTAAACAACTATCGGCGTATATCTGTTATTCCTACCGTAGCCAAAATTTTCAAACAAATTATCTGTGACCAGCTATATCAATATGAACTGAATGAAAATGGTTTATTAAACAGCAGCCAGTCTGGTTTCCACTCACTACACAGCACTCTTACTGTCTTGTTGGAGACAAACAATAGCTGGTGTGTCAATAATGATAGAGGTCTTCTTAATGGTGTAATCTTTATTGACTTGAAGAAGGCCTTTGACACTTTTGACAATGAGATAATTCTAAAAAAACTTGTTAAGTATGGTGTTGATCAAGACGCCCTGAAATGATAAATCTTACCTAACTAACCGTATGCAAAAGTGTAATGTAAACAATCATCTATCTAGTGCGAGCCCTCTAAATTGTGGCGTACCTCAAGCATCAATAATCGGTCCTCTTCTTTTCTGGATCTATATAAATGATCTACCAAATTGTTCAAACGTGGGCTCTCCTAGAGTGTATGGTGACAACACTAATGTTACCTTTTCTGCAGCTACTATACCTCATCTTGAGTCCCAACTCAATAGTGACCTGAAATATATTGATTGCTGACTCAAAGCTAATAAGTTAAGTCTCAATGTCGCCAAAACAGAGTTTATGGTCATTAGCTCGAGGCAGAAACTGCAGTCCTTAAATGACTACACAATAAACATTCATATAGACGGCGTCCCAATAAACCAAAGCAATCAAAGCAAATCGCTCAGGCGTATAATTGATGAAAATCTCTTGTGGAGGGCCCACATTCATGAAATCTCTGAAAAAGTACCCTCTGATATTGGCGCTCTTAAATGGGTCAGGCCATTTGTTTCACTGCACACTGCAATTAAAATATACAAAGGTCCTATCGAGCCACACTTCGATTATTGCAGCACTGTATGGGATGGCTTGACCCAACAGCTTAGTGAGAAACTTCAAACACTTCAAAATCGTGCTATCTCTGAGTTATTACCAAATCTAGCTATGATACCAGTGCCAGATTTCTTCTTAACTCGCTTGGTTGGGACAATTTATCGGTTAGAAGGGTTAAACAAAAGGCTAATTTAATGTAGAATCGCATAATTAAGTAAAATCTCGCATTCTGATTGGTTAACGAAGCGAGGTATTTAGTGTGGAATTGCGAGTTGAAAACGAGGCTAAGCGATATTGTTTCGCATCTACGTAACAGCTATCGTCAAATTCTAACACAACAACATGCAAAAAAGGTTTTCTACAATGTCATTTTAAAATGTTTTCAAAACCATTCATTGTCACTTTTTGAAGAGTTAAAAACAAACAAAAGCGTTTTTTAAAGTGAGCCGGAGGTTCTTCCTTGTTTTGAACTGAACTACAGATTCTCGAAGAGACATAAAACCTCTTTCACTCGCGACAACCAGAAAACAAGAAAATCCTGTGAACACGGCCCAGAAAATGGCAATCCAAAGTTCAACCAAACAAAACGGAGAAACGACAACGGAGGAAGTGCCGGGGTCGATTGTCCCATATACAGAAGAAGAAATAAATACCTTCAAAGAGGACATGGCCCCTGAAAACACGAAAAAGAGTACGCCACTTGCAATCGTCCTGAATCGTGGTACTTAGAAAAGTACAAAACAGAGCTGAACTTGAACAGCATTTCTAAAACATATCAAGGTACTTACCTTATGTCAATCGCGACGTTAAACATGTTAAACTTTCAGTGCTTTCGCTTGGACACTTGATTTCTTTCCGTTTTGCCGCCGAAGAGGTAAAAGGTGTAAATTATTTTCCCTCTCGAGCAAATGACCAATTTGAAAAAGACGTTCTACATAAACGGCTTCTAAATTCAGTAAAATACCTCTATTTATCCTTACGATTAGTGTGAAGCTTGTTTACATGTAGAAAAGTTTGAAAACAAATATAAAAACAAGCACAAGGTACAAAAAAGTTGTCGAGGTTCAAAGCGTGTAACGACTGACCTTGCTTCCTATTCGCTAACGCAATGACAGTTCTGACAGTTGACTTTGAAATGGCTTTCTGGAGAGCGAGCGCTCAGGAAAAAACAAACAATATTATTGCTGTTTTCTTTTTTTTTCTTCTGATTTTTATTCAATTATGCGATTCAAGGAAAATTCATTACCTGACTCGAGAATTCCACGTTAAATTGCACTTGAAAACCGATATCGCACTCATCGCTTCGCGATTCGTGCGATATCGGTTTTCGCGTGCAATTTAACGTGGAATTCCCTCGTCAGGTAATGAATTTTCCTATAAAAGTGCATTAATAATCTTGCCCTAGGTTGTCTCTAAGGGCCTGTTTACATGGAGTGGGGGACCCTGGTCTAGTGGGGTTGGTTTCTTTTGTTTTCACGCTCTGGGGGACACAAAACAAAAGAAACCTTCCCCGCTAGACCGGGGTCCCCCACTCCATGTAAACAGGCCCTAATTTGTTTGCCCCAAGAACACCGAATTACTATTTTCACAACGTGAAGAAAAAATTAATGCTCCCAAAAGCAAGAACTGATTAACTGAAGCATAGCTTTAGCTACAGTGGCGCTCTTCTATGGAACAATCTTCCTGAGGAAATACGTACATCAAACCCCTTAGGTCTCTTTAAGAGAAGTTCCCACCAATGGTTTTCTGATCAGTACTCCCACATGGCAAATATGTAAAACAGTTTTTGAGAATTTTAAATTATTTTCTATGTCAGACTGATATTTTTAATCAAGTGTAAATAAAGTTATCATTCATTCAGAATCAGGTGAAGATAAAGGTAAGCACTGCTCGGTTCATTTTTTTGTGACAAACATTTGTGATATGCCTGATATGTCTTGGACAATGCTTTCCTCGGTTGTAGTTTTACAATATCCCATAAATATTCCACCTCCCTCAGTGAGTTACTACCATTTGCTTGTTGTTTTTGTTCCTCTCACATGTACCATGGCTAGAAGTTTACATCTAACTCTACTACCTGGTTATGAATTTCAGAATGGTTTCCTGCTTTTAGAAGCCAAGAAGTTCTCCTACAAGACTGTTATGATCTTCACAAATGTTGCTGAAGTGTAAGCTCAAAATTGCAATTTATTTGAAAGGGAATATTTAAAAAAAAAAAATAATGGTGGTGTTTTGAATTTAGGAACCCTGGACTCCGATAGCCTTTAAGAGTAGCTCGCTGTCATTGAAATAAAAAGAACATTTCATGTTGATTATTTTGATATATAGTTTATGGGATGGTTCTCTTTGTCATTAAGAAGTTATCACCCTTCAAGTGGGTGTCAGTTGGGGTGCTCAAAACCCCCTTCCAGCAATAATTATTTAGGTCTTAAAGGGTTAAAAGAAATGGATGCCTTATTTAATTTACAAAAAAAAGATGGTATCAGTTCTCCATAAGGAAATGAACTACCATACAAACTGGGAATGCTCAAAGGCAAGAAGGTTGGAGGTCTTGCTGATGAGGATCAGAATCAATTGGTAAATATACCATCCCCGATCAGCCACACGAAGTTTTACAGTCGTGATTGATTGACACAGTCTATCATTTATATTGGTGAAGAATAATTAGGAGAGGGGAGGGGGAGCTTAATAGAGGATTTACGGTACTGTTATATAACGTTAACAACACTATTCCAAAAACCTCATAAGCAATATTTTTGATTCACTAACGTCGCACAAAAAGAACGTGTCAAATTCTCAAACAAACGAGATAGCAAAACAAGTAAAGCATGCGTTAAAACACAAAGTGCGTTCACCTTAGTTCACCCTGCAGAAAAAAGCGAATGTCATGCCCAACGAAAAGTGTGCACAAAGATGCAATGAGAAGACGTGCACTTTGCTGCCCGCTGGAAATGCGTGATATGTATGAATAAACAGCACATTAAAGCTTTATGAGTAACTAACTGCAAAAGATGAACGAAAAAGGCAAAGACTCAACACCATATATACCTTCGTTTCATTCCACGCTTCGTCCTTCTTCCCTCCATCATCAAGACAGCTGACCTTTCAGCTGAATTGCTAGGAATCACATGTCACATGCCACAATAACGGCAGACTTAGGGGTCAGCGGGAACTCGTCTAAAGCACCTATCTCGTAATCTCGTACCCCCGTCTCGTACCCAGCCAGGGGCCCGTCTTTCTCAAAAGGTCCGAAAAGGTCCGGTAACTTTTTAGGTCGGAAGACAAATTTTGAACTCAAAACCAGTTAAATAGTAGCACAGTTCCAAGGTCACAAACTGGACGATTTTGGTTCGTTAACTGATAGTTTCATATTTTCATTTTTAAAGTAATTGAAGCTTTTGATCTTGGCTGATGCAAACACGGCAAACATAAAACAGAATAGCATCAAGAATATCGCTCTTGGTCAAAAACTACGCGAGATGTCATATGATGAACGATGCATCTTGCGAAACTGGAACACACTTCAGCATCGATGAGAATACCTATCTGAAGTGGAATGCTACAAGACTGAATGGCCTAGACTTTAATGACTATTTCGAGTTTCGTAGAAGTAAAAACACTAGATCGAGCCAACCATCCAAACAAAATACAAACTAAATTAGCTACAGTTAACTCCTTTAAGTACTATTTCTTTGGGAGAATCGTCAAAGACTGGAACAGTTTGCCAAACCATCTCTTCACTGACGAAATAGTAATAAGAATATAAAATTAAAATTAAAAGCTTTCTTAAAAAGATAAGTCTTCAAGTGTAGTTTAAAAGACTCAATGTTCCTACAGTTTCTAAGGCTAGATAGCAAAGCATTCCATACTGTTCGTCCAGCATGGAAAAACGCTCGATCGCCAAAAGTCTTCCGTGTCACCTCAGGGACCGCCTAGCAAGTTTTCGAGTGGGGGGGCTAAAGAAGAATGCGTGAAGGAAAATTTGGGGGGGGGGGGGACTGCTTGTGGATTTCTATTCCATTTCTCTAAAGTGACGGAGAATGCGAATAACGATAAAACTATTGATTTTTTTTCCACATCTTCAGTGATGTTGCTATCGGGTCTGAAAATTCACCATCACTAAATTGAAATATCATAGATTGTTATGTTATACTACTGATATCAACCTTTAATTACTGTAAATAAGCCAGAAATCCAACGATTTTGCTTGAGCTGCCTTGAACTTTATGTTAGTTGGGTCAAGGCAGAAGCTATCAAAGCTTTCTGAAACTCCTTCTTTTATGATAAACGACCATCCCGTGACTAGTGCAAGTGTCAACGGATGTTACCATTGCTCATAGGACGTAACTGCTCTGAGGCAGAGCGCGATCTAGTAGCATTGCCGGTGCGTATGGGAGGTCTTGGGCTCATAAATCCATCTGATAGTGCGGATGCGGAGTATTCAGTGTCTATTAGGGTAAGCGCTCCACTTGTAAGCAAAATAGAGGCGCAATCCCATGAGACCCCAGAAGAAGCCGAGGTACAACGACTGGTGTACGCCACCCGGGAAGAAAAGGATGATGGGCTAGTAGAAGAGCTTGAGGAGGTGAAGGCCATGTTGCCAGACAAGACACAGAGAGCCGTGGACCTGGCCTGTGAAAAAGGCGCATCCAACCGGCTTACAGCTATTCCTCTCAAAGACATGGATTTTGATCTCAACAAGCGGGAATTTCGTGATGCTGTGAGGCTTCGATATGATTGGCCGATACCCGATAATCCGCCAGAATGCGTTTGTGGGAACATGTTTACAGTAGATCACGCGATGATCTGCCAGCGTGGAGGCTTAGTTATTCAGCGCCACAATGATATGTTATACTTCAAATGTCTTCATAGACGTGGTGGAGATTCCATTTTCGCGGGAAGTATTGCCCTGACATGTGTCTGAAAATAAGCCGGTCCGCAAAAACGCCGCGACATAGGGCTAGTATGGGAGTGGCACTCTCCGGGTTATGTGTTTTTGTTAATAAGCGCCCTCATTCTAATTAAGTGCCCCCATTCTAATATTAGAGAGAGGTAAACCGAGGTTCATCTTCCTCTTCATCTTTGCTCTCATTACAAAAAAACAGTGGTCTTCGTCGAGTTTCTCGTGTTAACTGATAAAATTCACGGTATATTTGTTACTGTTACAGGCTCTGATAAATATTTAAGTTTTGTTTTAAACATTCGATTGATTCTTAAAAAGAAATAAGCGCCCTGTCTCGAATAAGCACTCTCCCTTGAGGTAACAAAAGTAAATGCGGGCCCCGGGGGCTGAATTGAATCATTACGTTAAGTAAAAGCTGCTTACTGAGACACCACTTCCGAATTCTCAACAGGTCCTAATTCATCCTCGTCACCGCTTCTTTTTTTATCCTGGAATTAAAAAAGACATTAGAAGTTGGTGTCATAAACATAACATTGGGGTGAACAGCTTTCAGGAATCGAATGGAGGTCATTAAGATAGATGCTCACTTGAATGAAGAGTGAAGGACCATCCTGGTTAGACATAGACTACCACGTGGAGTTCAGGAGTCATAAATCGTGGAAAAGCTCTGGTGAAACAAAAAATTGGTGCGAAAAGAAAAACGAAAGAAATATGATGTCAAAAGGGATAATTGGGAATTGCGTTTATAACCTCTAGACTTGATTTCTGCAACTCGGTTTTTAATTATGCGGTCTTCCTAGCTACCTCATAAAAAACTTGCAGAAAGTTCAGAATACTGCTGCTATTATTGTAATGCTGACCACCTACCTAAAAGGAGCATATCACGCCTGTCTTATACAGTCTACACTGGCTGCCAGTTGAACAAAGGATACTTTTTAAGCTGCTGTTATTAACATACATAAAGCTAAATGATTTTGCTCCTGAATATCTTTCCAGTCTCATTGTCATCTACGTCCCTGAACGTAATCTGCGGTCTGCGCAAAGTCGGCAGTTAGTTCATCCAGCTTAAAACTTGGGTTCCTATGGCTTTAAGGTATTTTCATGCGCTCCTCCTTTTTTATGGAATTCTCTGCCACGCGAGATGAGGTTTTCTTCTTCGTGAAGCAGTTTTTAAAACCAGGTGAAAACCTACCTTTTTAAAAGGGCGTATGAGTAGGCTGGGCGCTGGGCATATACGAATTGTTTCAGTGCTTTTAGATTTCAGTTTAATTTTCAACATTTTTTTCAACAGTTAGATTTTCTATTTTTTTTTATAGTTCTTGGTTGTAGTTTGAGTTTTATTTCTTTATTATTATAAAATAGTTGTATTCTTGCCTTTCCAGCCTTTTCAAGTTCTAGGTTTTAGTCTTAGTCTTAGTAACATTGGTTGTAAATGTTGTTTTTTTTTTTACCCTTTTTAATACTTAGTTACAGTCGATTTGTAAGCCATTTTTATATAATTGTAAGGCAGGGTTTTATCTCTGTGAAGTACTGCAGGGGATTATTTTATTGCTATAGTGCTATGTAAGTACATAAATATAATTATCATTTGATGCAAATTTTTCTTCCTTTTCGTCGGTCGAGGGCCCACCACGTGACCTTCAAATGCTTGCCTACAAATAATGGTCTGCTCATGCACAATGTCCTACAACTGTGTTTGGCTGCAAATAATATTCTGCGTAAATGAAGTCACGCTTTTCTCCTTCTTGCAACCCCTATTGTATGTAAGGCTTTGACTGAGAAAGTTTTGGTGTTTTGGATTAGGGGTCGTTCATGGGAGGAGGTCACTTACGAGAGCTGGTCGCACATGGAGGTTCGACTGTATACTGTATACACCTCGCCCGAATAATTATTATTTAAATATTAACAATTACAATGATGCATAAATTGGTGTAAAATGATGTACAGATATTTTAGAAACAAGGACAAACTTAAAATTTTTGACACATTTGTAATTTATAACAAGCATAAAGGCATTTACAATTGTCGCCGAGGGAAAGTTTTATTTTGGATAAATGTTTTTTAAAAGTTTCGAGATCCTCAGATTGATGAACTTCTACTGGCAAATCTTCACAGATGCGACTTTTATGATTGAAAGAGTGCTGAAATTTGCAAGATGAAGTAAGAGCCTCGCTAGCCTGTGCCAGGCTCTCAGATAGTACGGTATAGTGCGGACGTATTAAAGCGAGCAAAGCGAAAATAAGACGCGCGCGACTTGGGAAAGGGGGCGGTGGCGGTGAGAAAAATGGGAGAGAGTCTCTCCCCAGCCCCCGCGCATTTTTCGCATTTCTTTTTACTGAACGACTTTTCACCACTATCTCGCGCTCGGAGCCTGGAACAGGCTAGAACCTCGCAAGTCATACTTGACGCATTTTCGTATCGTAAGGAAGCTTGTAGATTTTTGACACCTAAATAGCAAGACTAATGACAGGAAAATCCAAGGTTGTGCTTATTCGTATGGGTTGGTATCGCGAAGTCATGTAGCTCCAGAGCCATTCAATCGCTGATACGGAAGCTCCGATATCCTATAATTATTTTTTCAGGAATATTCGATGCTAAAGGAGTGAGGTTTGTTTATTATTGTTCTTTCGAGACAATGTCTCTATGAGGATCGCTCTGAAAATGTTGAACTCGAACTGTTGGATTTTCAACCTGTTTTATCAGCGGAGAGGAACAGAATAGGAAGAAAGCAAGGAGAAAACGAAATGTTGGGCCGGAAAAGGGAGATGTCCATTAGAAGGTAATTTATGGCTTTTTTTAGCTCGCGTGATGACAAGGGATAAGGGGGGGGGGACGTGGACTGCGATCCCCTTGAGTCTCCTTGGTTGGATTTGCCGAGAAAGCATGGAATCAAACTTTGACACATTTCAGGTTGGTCGTTTTGGAAGTTATCTGATATTCAGAGCTTCGCTCTAACTAATAGGACTCTAATAGGTCATTTAGAGATGTTTCCTTGCGATATAGGGCAGCCGATGGTATTTCGCTTCGTCTGGGTAAAGCAGAAATGAAAATTTTATAACAGATCGTTTCAAGCTCTCTCGAAGCTCTCGTTTCCCTACGTCCCTTGGGTTTGGCAGCGCGCTCGCACATTCTCTCATGACTCGCTTCGCTCACCATAAATGGAGAGCTTGCTCGTAGGTCCTGGTTGTATCAGAGAAGAACACCCTAATATTGCCTTCACACACCCACATGCAATGCATTTTAAGGCTGAGTTCAGTTTCATTATTGACAGAGTCAGAGTCGTAATCAGAACCGCAACGGGGTATTACAGAGACAAGTGGATACAACTTTCCGATTTCTCTTTCGACACCAAATTAAATCGTAGATATAACAGTCACAACTGTAAAATATTCAACATTCCCTTTTTTTGCTTTATCACCGTACCTGTAGGTGTATTCCGGAATAAGAATAAATGGAATAAACTCTAGAAATCACTTCTTTTGGCTGTCACTGCATGTATTGCAATATTTAGAAAGCTGCTTGAAAAGATTTCGATCGACATAAAGTTTAAGTGGTTCGAAAAACACGGTAGAAGAAATTTTTAGCAAAACGTTTGCTTATCCTAATTCCGGAATCAGATCAGATCTACGAGAAGTCGCTCTTTTTTCTCGAGGTTTATTTCCACTGACACGTTTCTGGCTGAAAACGCACGTTAATGCACGTAAATTTTAATCACGTAAATAAAATAGAGGTAACTAAAGTGCTGAGCTTAAACGAGAATATTGGGCGTGGTTTAACTTTTACGCCTACGCGCGACCTTTCATGTAGACTTCGAGTAGTCTCTTATTTTTCTTTGCAAAGTTACTGCACGCGAAACCTAAGCGATCGCGCTGGATGAGATAAGAACTAGACAGATTTTAAGAGAAAAGGCGGACTGCAAGCAGTCTACCTTTCATGCATTGCGTCTATTTTATTTGCGAACGTAAATTTCACGCACGTACGCACGTAAAAATTAACCCGACACTGGAAGTCATTCCTTAGTCCGTCGAGCGAAAACACATGAGGCACGAAAATAGCCCGCGCGGCTGCCGCTCTCGTTTCTCGCGGCTTGCGGCTTCGCTGCTCGACATTCGCGTTAAGAAAAAGAGAGACTGCTTGCAGTCTAACCTTTATCCGCGTTGCTTTAAACCACTGACAGATTTGATGGGCTCCTGCCACTGAGGAAGATTGAGCACCCTCAAAACGTCTGTTTTTGGATCTTTTCTATGCACATTTTCAAACTTTGTAAAAATCAATCTTACCATTTTCCGCACTGCTTGCGAGATTAGGGAGCTTTATACATCAGCAGCGGCAACGGCAGCGAAAACGTCACTTTTACAATGGTTTCCCGAGTTTTAAAACTTTGTAGTGTTTATTCCAATTCGCTGAAAATGTCAGATGAAGGCGAATTTCCCTGGAGGTATATTTTCACGTTGTAGTCGTGCAGTGACGGCAAGAAATCTACAAAAAAGTGTGCTGCACGAGCAAACCTATTGTTTTCTGCCATTCTCTTCGCCGTCTCCGGCGTGCGAGTCAACCAATTTGAACAAGACACCTAAACTCGTTTCCTTGAGATGCGTTGGTCTATGGAAGCATAATGGCGTTCTATCTGAATTTGGAAAAATTAGGGAAACCGGAAAGATGTGTCATGTTATAAACATCGATGAGTAGGTTACCTGTATGGGTTTGTTTAATGTGCTTATGACTGAATTTATAGTGGTACAGGGACTAGGCAGGAAGGCACTAGATAACATCAACCTAAAACAGATGAGTCATCGATATGTCAGTGGCGCCTTACAAAATGACTGAAATGATCCCGTCGACTTCCGCTCACTTGATCGACCGCAGCGAAGATGTTATATTTGAGTTAGTTTGAGTTATAAAACGGTCAATACTGTCGAGTTCCAGTTTGTATCACAAAAAAATGTTAAATCTGTCATAGACTCAGCTGTATTGCATTGAACGACGCGGCTTATGGTCTTCGCAAGGAAAGCTGGTCTCGGTCGATGTTATTTAGTGTCAACACGTCAGGAAATACCCGGCATAGTAAATCGAACGTTCCAAAATCGAACTCAATCGAACTCAATCTGTGGATTGAGTTCGATTGAGTTCGGCAATCGAACGAAATCGAACACCACACTTTCAGTGAGTTCGATTTCCGAACAAATCGAATTCAATCGAACAAATCGAACTCAATCGAACTCAATCCGTCTGATTGTGTTCGATTGAGTTCGGAAACCGAATGGGGGGCAAAAATCAAAACCCCAAAAAAATCCCTTGGGCTTCAAAAAAAAAAAAAACCCAAAGAAATCACTGGACAAAATTTATCCCCCCTAAAAAATACACTAAATAACATCGACCGAGACCAGCGTTCCTTGGGAAGACCATAAGCCGCGTAGCCTGATTCTCAGACGTCCGAGGTCATTCGCAGTCCCTTTCGCTTCCCTCCCTCTCCGAAAGGGACCGCGAATGACCTCGGACGTCTGAGAATCAGGCTATCAAGTGAGCGGAAGTCGACGGGTTTTGTAGGGCGCCGCTTCGCCTAGTCCCTAGGCCTCATTTTTCCCCCAAAAGTTTCGGGTCACGTGGTCCATGCGAAAATGTTCGCCTCGGATACGTCACCGAAACGAATTGACCGAGAGGGACTGGGAAAACGCCGTACAGGGACTAGGCAAAGGCGCCGCTGACGTAACGATGACTCATCTGGTTAAGGTCGATGTTATCTAGGGTGACAAAGTTCGATAAAGTTGCAATGTTTTAATCCAAGATAAAAGTTTAATATTCCAAGATGCTCTTGATACGGTTAAAAATTAATTGCAATGTGTTTCCAAGGTCTCAAAGTTAACATAGTTCCAATGGTTATGCCTGATTCCAAGATATAATAAGTTTACTAAGGTCCTGATCCGTGTCCCATCCAGAAGTCCAATCCATGCCGAAAGCGAGTCGTGGATCGACGAGGACAATATTTTCGTGATTTCTCCGCCAATCGTCAAGGGTACGAGTTGAAATTTACGCGATTTAACCTCCCTCTCAAGGTGTTTTCGATAAGAAAAGAAAAAAATTGAACTCTAGCTGTGCTCGGCAAAAACTGGCGAACTCCGAATAGAAAAATCTACTAAACCCTTATGAAAAAGCTAGACCTAAACAAGAAAGAATCATGAAGGGAAGAATTAATTTGGCTTTATTTTAAAAGGTCGCCTTTCGTGACTTGCCAGTATCCCGAAGGATTTCGCTAGTTAAGGTGGCTCCGTAATTAATACTAGAGCATTTTGCTGTGACAAATTTTCCGTCATAACTTTTTGGTTCTTAACGCGATGACTGCGAAACTTTGCAAAGAGCAACATATATCATTCGGCAACAATAGGCAATCGGCTTTTGATTTCAGAATTAGCAAACATTGAATTTACTTGTCCCGAAAATTCAAACTGGTGTCTCCTTCTTCCTGATAGTAATTTATTTTTGAAATTCCAAAACAATTTCACAGCTGAATTTTGAGCGACTTTTAGTTACGGACTTCTGCTCCAACGATTTTTCTGAAATTCCTCTGGCATATTTATTATATCAATTAAAGCCGATACCAGAAATTTCAGTAAAAAATATCTGCAAAATTTTTACTAGACGCGATTTTATTTGAACATTAGGGTCCTTTTAAGCGCTAATTTCTCAAGAAATATTTACCATCAATGAAATCGGAATATTTCGTATTATTGCCAAATTATATCTGTTGTTCTTTGCAAAGTTTCGCAGCCATCGCGTCAAAATCGAAAAAGTTATGACGGAAAATTTGCCACAGCTAAATGCTCTTGTATTAATTACGGAGCCACCTTAACAAGCAAGGCAAGGGACGTTCTGATTTCAACGTTCTTCAGAGGAAGCAAATCGATTAAAAAAAAGGTACAGATTTTGTACAATCTGATTGGTCGGCTTGGAAGAAGAGATAATCGATAAAGATTTTAGGCAATCCTATTGGCTGGCTTGGCAATTTTGGGTACAACCGAACCGGATTTTTACCGTGGGAGTTCCAGAGGCATCCCACGGAAAAAGGAGAACGACGGGGGTCTGGGGCGGGCGCTTCTTCTGGTCAGCGAATAACACTGTTAGCAGATGCTCTCCACGGAAATCATTTCGTCATCGTTGATTGAGTTGGCTGCCATATTGTTAAGGCTTTTGGGAAGTGTGAGAGCGAAAATCGCGGTCTATTTTTAGGACTTTCCGTATAGCAAAGTCCATGATTAGCCATGTCGAAGGCAGAACAAGTCTTGAAGCTTGAGCCAGCTTCAGAATTGCGCTTTCGGGGTATTTTGTGATTGTCTATTCTGTTGTCGATCATTGTCTAAGTCAATCCAGACGTGCTTTCAGTTATTTAACTAAAAATGCTTTCACCTGGTTATCACAGGATCTTTTACAAAAGTCGTCACAGCAAATCTTAAACTGACGAATCCTACGGAAAAGAAAGTATGCTTCAAAGTAAAAACTACGGCTCCAAAAAGATACTGTGTTCGTCCAAACAGTGGATTTGTAGAACCTACTGGAGTTGTAGAAGTGGCCGGTAAGTTGTTTATCTAATTTAGCCAGTTCAAACTTCAGTTATCATCTTAAAAAGTTTTGTAGGGAAAACTGAATTTTCTTTCCACCTGGTTGCGTGGCAGTGTATGTTTTACTGCGGTGTATATTCTCATACAATTTTTTGTTAATGAATTTAAAAGACTTGTTCCAACACGCCTTCAGTTTGCTCTACCTTTTATATGAAGGTATGGGGTAAGCTCGTCATATGTTATTTTGAATTACAATCACAAAGTCACAATAGCAAACTTGGTAAAATATGAGGAAAGACTTGCAACCTCTCTGAGAATTTCTACAGAGACTGCAACTTCATTTTATTTTACTTTTTATTTACAGTTATGCTTCAGCCATTTGAGTATGATCCAAAAGAAAAGAGTAAACACAAATTCATGGTTCAGACGATGTTTGCCCCAGAAGGACAAATTGATCATGAGACATTGGTACGTGGTGGTTGTTATTTCTTAACACTTTGAAATTAAAGCTAGTTAACTGAAAAAAAAAATTGTGAAATTTTGGGGTTTTTCTTGAAAGGCAGGCATCAGGCTGATTTAGCAACAGAACAGGAATGTTAGTTGATGATGGTGTGTGCAAATGAAACTACTGGCTTGACCAATGGTAGAGCGGCAAATTGGGAACTGGAAGTGGAGTTTATTCTTTTCTTTGCGCTTTCCCGTCGTCAAATGACGTTCCTATTGTGTTGCTAAATCAGCCTATTTACAGGAGGCAGTCACTTCTTCAACATCCTGTGCAGTAGTCATCTTCAGAGTCAAAGTGAGTTGTATCTCATCAGTTGATGTTAATATACTCTGGTTATTGACCTGATTGGGTAATTAAGTCATTTGACATACATGTACTTAACACCTTCTTTGACTTGGTTAATCCTCATTTCTTTTTCCTACATTATTCCCCCCACAAAAGGGGGATGCATGAGCAAAAGTCTTGTCTTACTGCCCATTTGTATAGGTTACCTAGAAAGTTGTCTGCATCCTGTTAGTCTTCTTTTTTGATAGGTCATTTTGACAAAGACAAGAGTGACAAAGTGGATGTTAGTTCATTTGTAGTATTAGAGCCCTGTCCTTTTCTTGTGTCTCTAACTTTGAAAGTTATAATTTTTTGTAAGCTATTACCTCTCAAGTTATAACCAGCCAAAAAATGGGTTGTGTGTGACCAAAATAAGTTTGACAGGAAAACGTTACTAGGGATAACCCATTATGTCAAGTCATTCACACCCTAACACAATATGCCATGTACATGTAAGAATATTGAAGACATTTAGCGCTATCTTGCATACATGTAATACAATGTAACTCTTTGGCTTTGCCTACCTTTTTTTGCAGTACAGTGAAACCTCTAGTAAGTGGACACTAAGCCGGGCGTGCAATTAATGTGTTATGTTTCCCTTTATAATGAACCCCTATTCAGCGTACACCTCTATTAAGTGGACACCGGACTGAATTGACAATAGTAGTATTGGATTACATCCTTGAAATGTGTAGTGTAGTCGAGTAATAAAGATAAATCAATACATTTAGCTGTCGATGAACTGTAGATTAGACTGATATCCTGCCACATGATTGTCATCCAAGTTCAAGTCTTGCACAAAGTACAGCACAGCTTCCTTAAGAGCATGGAACTCTATCACAGTACAGAGTAACTGTTGAATGTTAATCGGTAACAAACATTGCACAATTTTTACAAACCTCTATTAAGCGGACACCATCTATTAAGCGGACACTTGGGAAGGTCCTGAAGGTGTCAGCTTAATAGAGGTTTCACTGTATTCAATATCCTGACGTTTTATGAAATCGCTTCTCGTCCATATGCCTACAGTCATGTCCAATACTCCTACACTGTTGTAGACCGTTAAGGGCAGTTGACGGATCGTACAAACCGTCAGCACTTTAACTGTCCATATTGTGAGTGCATACGAAGGGTACATCTCATTATTACATTGGGGCACAGGGTGTTACGGTCCCGTACGAGGATCGTAATGGTCAATGCTTCATTGATACGGATCCTTCTTTAAACCATAAAGCAAAACAAGAGTGCTCCGGCAGTTATATTCCTCGTTGTTTTAAAAGAAGTACGTTCCAAATGTAATATTCCTCATTCTATAAGCCATAAAGCAAAACAAGTGCACTTCAAATTTAATATTCCTCATTCCATAAGCCATAAATCTAGAGAAGCACATTCCAAATGTAATATTCCTTGTTCTTTAAGCCCTAAACCAAAATAAACATTTTGTCAAATGTAATATTCCTTGCTGTATAAGTCATAAACCAAAATAAGCACACTTCCAATTTATGTAACATTCCTAGCTCTATAAACTAAGCAAGAACAAGCACACCCTATCACCAATGAAGCCTGCTCTAAATGGCCATAAACGGAGTGACTACAGCTCTTAACAGACCATACATGAGTTTTGCAATCCGTAAAATCTGTATAGATGGACAAACCATGTATACCTTCTCACGTAGCCATGAAAATTTGCTAAGTCCCACTAATGAGGTGCAATTTATAGACTGTAAACAGCTGTTTACAGACCGTGTATGAGTTTTGTGATCTGTGCAATCCATACGGATTGACGCACTGTATATACCCTATTTTAACATGAAAATATTCCTAGTCCCACTAATGAGATGCAATTTTTGGACTGGACTGTACTTGAGATTTGCGATCTGTACGATTGGTATGGATCATAACGTGGTGTATATGGACCATTACAGTGCAGGTATATTGGACAACCCTCTATGCCTACAGTACCTTTTAATGTTATTGGGCAATGAGATGGGACATCTTAAAGTCTACCTCAGTGATAATTATGGTATATAATGTGACCATTTAACACAATATTCATGTAGTTTAGAATAGTTCTCCAAAATCGCACCCTCACTCTATTATCAAAATGATACAAAACAAAGTTAATTATGAAAGTCTTAAATCTGTTCATGACACTCACTCTAGACATTGCAAATCAGTGAAAATTTTTAGTGAAGCACAAATTGGCTGCTGCAACCTATTTTCATGGCCAGTAGTTTTGAAGATTAATGGCGGATAAATAACAATTTTATTATTCACTGTAGTAGAGGTGGCTAGTGGTGTATATTTATAAAGCCGTGAAGCAGTGATATAATTGAACACAAAAAGGTCATTTTTAACACATTAATTGCTGCAACAATTACAATTTTGGCATGCAAATGCCCTCTCGGCCATCACGTTTTCTGCCAACAAATACAACATTTGAAGGCCTTTGTTTAGCTTTTGCAGGGACATTTCTTCCAAATGAATTGGGAATTCTTTCTGTATTTGAAACCATTCTGATTAAAACACCATTTGATTTAGTTTCAAGCTTATTCATGAACATGTTTGGCATTACTTGTTGCTTAAGCGTGAGGTGAATCAGTGAATAGCACTAGATATCCTGAGTTTGAGTAGCCAATCAGAGCATGCGAAAAACACTGTTTCAGTATATACTTGGTTGGACAGTGTTCAGGGAAAGAACATCATGCTATATCAACATTAATTCTAGATGATTAAATGTATATTGTGTCAAACTAAACATGTATATGTATATGTAATAAAGGTAATCAAGAATGGTACTTGAAACACACGTATGGCAAGCAGTTTTTGTCCCTGTGTTTTTAAACAAGTTAATGCTCATGGCCGATAAACTGTTCTGAATTCAGCAGTATCATCGTTCTTATTTTAATTTAACAGTGGAAAGAGGCGGACCAAAGTGCATTTATGGATTCTAAGCTGAAATGTGTCTTTGATTATGTGGATGAGAGTGAAGCACCTGTAGACAGTAGTATGGGAGGAAATGTAAGTGGTCAATTTTAGTCTTGTTACATGTAAGTTATGAATATGTTTTTAGGAACTGCTTGATCACCTGTTGGTAGCTGCCCCTTTAAAAAGTGATGAAGGTGCTCACAGTATTTGGAGGAAAAATTGGTCAGTTGGTACTGCTTGAGTTCTTGAGGTATCTTTTATGGCTGAAAAGGCTGAAAAAATGATTGACTGGTTATTTTTTGATGAAATTATGAATATATGAAAATCATATATGAGAATTCCTTGGGTACCAGAGGTTTTTTCTCACATGGGATGAGGAGCTTCATTGGCCGCACGAGCGGTGAAGCCACGAGAAAAAACCTCTGGTGCAGAGCGCCTTGATTTACCATGCTGGATGGACCTTGACCTTGTCTCTAATCTGTCAATCAAATCAGTGGTCACAAGCTAATTCAAAAGTAATTACCAAGGGAGGAACAACATGCTGCAGCGCAAAGAGTCACACTATCTCCAGAATAACAAGCTTGAGTTTTAATAGAAATCATTGCTTAAACAGAAATCTTGTCACAGTACAGTTCTCCTTAATTTATGTAGCTTTATTATAAGCTGCAATCCATTCTTCCAAATTTGGATCTGTTTATCACTAAGGAGAAACAAACATCCTGCAAAAACTACTAACGAACGGGGCCCAGCGTGACATAACATTGCAGAAACTTTCACATTTACGGACAAAAGAAAACCGCTTTTAGTCATTCAAATCCAGAAAACACAAAAGTTTTTTTTAGCTGCAAATGAAGATGTTTATGTTTCAAGAGGCTAAGAAAAATGGTCTTGACTCGCATCAGAGGGAAAATCATGTTGACCAGAAATAAACCGCAGAACATCAATATGCCTGTCACGACCTCTCAGTATGAAACAAGGGGCAAAAATAATACACATTTGGTCAGTCGTAATCTGTTCGAATGACTTCGGTTATAGCCTGGTCTAAATCTTCCGTTCATACAGGCATCTGATTTTTCTTCCAAAAAGCGAAAATGTACGTGATATGTGGCTTGGATTGTTTCAAACCACCCGTGTCCCTATCATGCGCCTATTGTGATTGAAATCCAATAAGAGCGTTTGAAACATTCGATATCTCAAAGAAACCAATCAGCTAAACATCCAGATTCTGGATGTTTTGGTATAAGCGGGGTTGTTATTGGCTCCGCGCTATCAAAGGGATTGCGCCCTGGTCTTGACACTTTTCACGCAGGTCACTTTGTAAGACTTAACTGAATCCGGAAACTGTGCATGAAAAGCCTCTGGCACCCAGGGTAATATGAGAACTGTGGGGTGAAGAATTATATGAAAGAAGATCATTGCAGTTATAGACAGAACTTTTGCAGTTGCAAAAAGAAAGCCTGAAAAAAATTCAGACTTATACAGGATTTGAACCCTTTTACCTCTGGGATGCCGGTGCAGCGCTCTACCGATTGATCTAATAATAAGCCAACTGGGAGCAGGTTGTTGAATTGGTTCATATTAAACCCGTGAAAGAATGATGATGAAATGAAATTATGTATTTTATGTTATGCATAGCTCAAGTGTCAAAATTTGGTGCATATAAAGAACTCATCATCTTTAACATTTGAAAGTATAAATATTGTGTCCATAAGTAACATGATATGTCACGTGACCATTTTTCGCAAAATCTGTAATAATTGACAAATTATTGGTGGCTGGTTTAAGAAAAGATATCAAGCAATAACCTTCAGTTGCATTTAATGCTTTTAAGTTTAAAGAAAGTGACCTTTCTCATCCACCAATGCATCTATAAGAACTGACCTATAACTTTAGAATTCACATGAGCTTTTCAGTATTATTATTGCAAATTTGACAGTTTTATGTTGCAAGTCAATTAGGAGGGCCAATAGAACATGGTTCATATCAGAATATCAGAAGAGAACTTCTAGTTGCAGTAACCTTATGACTAAGGATAACAGCTATTTCTTGAATTATTGATGATACCTCATTGGTTAAAAAGCAGTTTTGACTCAGTTTCCTACTTGTATGATGACTATTCAGTCCTAATGCTTCATACCCAGTTTTGAAGTGTGTGTGGAAAATGTGGGCATAATAAAGGCCAGCTTTAACCATACTGTTTCATAACTCTGACCTAGATATTACACTGAAAAGGTAAAGAAAAGATAATTCAAGTCAATGTTATTCCTAATTAGGTAATTGCTGGACAGATCTTTGAAAGAAGTGCAAGAAAATGTAAACAACTCACTTTCATGGAGCATAAGGAAAGGAAGAACAGCCCTTAGCAACTGTTGCCACTGAAAAGCCTCGTTTTTGTGTATACGTATACTTTAGTATACAACCAAACAAATCCCTAGCTAGCTTTTTTATTCCCTACCTACATGTACTTTTCGTATTCATCTGGTAACTTAAATATAAGTGTCAGCCCTGAAATATTGAATTGTCTTAAGTGTTTTTTTACTGAATTTTAGTGATACATATAATAATATTAAGTCTGTGTATTGGCAGGCATAAGAATTAAAAATCCTTTTTAATGGATAACATGTACAATTTTGTTTAGAAACATACTTGTAATTTCAACGTGCATCTTCTCCATCTAGTTTTACATACGTTCAGTCACATTCGTGTGGTACTAATGAAAAGAATTTATTTGCATTATTCTTGTGTCATTTTTCTCTCTTAGGCCACAATGTAAGGAGAAATCAGTCCCCTACCTTAATTTCAACTTGTAGCCTGTTAACTACACAATGTTGTGCAGGCACCACTGGTAATTTAAAGAAAAACGCTAATTAAATTATTTATTTTTACATGGCAGGAAAATGAATCTTTGAACAACAGAGAAGTACCTCTTCCTTCAAAGATATCTAAGGTAGAACCAGCACCAGTCGACAGTGGTACTAGTAACATCAAGACAGCTTCTTCACATAATCGAAATGGTTCTTATCCTGAACCAGGAGTGGAAGCTTCCACATCAACAAGATCTTTGCAGGTACTTATATATATACTTATACTTATATTTTGTGAAGAACTCAAGCTTACAGAAGCATAAGAAAGATTGATGCAAAAGATGTCGCCCTTTTCCCGAACGGGTTGGTCCACGAATTCTATCCCTTGAATCCCTTGAAGGCGTTGATTACTTTATAGCACATGAATACTTTAGTAGTCGAAAAAAAGAAGAATCTTTATGAGCAAAACTTCAATCTCGAGGCTAACTGCTGGTCAGGTGTTGTGAACTTTCATTGTTTGCAAATTTAGTCTTGTGATAAGCATGTGGTTTATTTTTCTGGTGATAATTGAAATAATAGGCCAAGTTTTATTGAGGCCCTTGATTTTCGTGTACTTGTGCATGCGTACAGAAAGAAATTGTCGAATACGATATAAATGTAAATATCCTGAATCCTGCTTTGTGTAGAATTAATCGCCTCCTCATTTCGTATATAATCTTCAAGCAAGTGAGACTTAAAATTTCTAAAAAGCTTTCTTGTTATTCCATCATGTTATGAATAATAAACTAGTGTACTGGATTAATGAGGTTAACTTATCTCTCTCTTGGTCATTAATAAGTTTTTTGTATTGTTAGTAATGTTAAATGTCTTCTGTTAATTCACCACAGGCTGATGAAAGAAGAACCATAAATGAGGAATTAGAAAAACTGAAAAATGAAAACACTGTTCTTATGGTATGTATTACATTGTATGGTCATATCTTTGCAAAGGCACAAATTCAGTGATTCTTGGGGGGCTGTCATTCCTCGCTGTTTAGTAGGCCGTTTCTGAGTTGAAGTAAACCTCAACACAAGGCTACTGTAAGTTTGTAGTCTTTGCTAATGTAAAACATTTTCAAGGTTTCACACTTGACATCTTTTTGGTGGCAGGGAATTCTGGAACTCTATTCTGGAAAAGGTCAGATAATCGTCATTTAGTCGGGCTTTCCTAGGGAATGGGATGGTGATATAGGATGGAAAGTGAACAATGTTTGGCCTTCAGTCAGAAACTATTGTGAAAGTTAAGAAGTGCAAAGAAAAAGTTAATATGTAAACATCTTTAAAAAAACTACAAAGTAAGAAACAACTGTAAAATAATACGTACATTTTTACGTGTGAGATTATAATAACAATTATTATAATAATATGGGGCTCAATAAAGTCCTGTCCAGTAGTCCGGGACAAGTAGATTTTCTTGCTGGGCAGGTAACTTTTAAAGCTCGCTTGCTCAATGGTCAAGGGTCCAGGTAAGTCATCCTCTAATAAAATCATTATCCAAGATGAGCAAGAAATGGTCCTGGGCAAGCGAAATGTGAAAGCTGCTTGCCCGAAGGACAGGCTGGAATTCAAGTTTCTATTTTGAATCCCGTAATAGGCCTTAATATAACAATTATTAATTTCTTGAAAAAGATAAGACTATGATTTCTTTGTACGTACTGTTGAAAACTGATTTTTAGATAGGAAGCTTCATGATTTTAATTTGTGCTTTGTGCTAAAAGTCTATACTACCCACTGGACTTGGGGGATAAGAAGCATCACTGGTTCTTTGACCCCCAAATATTTCGATAACGCTTTGATAGATTTCGCTCAAACTTTGCGAACATCGAGGCGGTTATTGGAGCTCCCTTGAATCATTTTGGAAGAACAGTTCCCAGTACCGAGAAACATAGCCTCCCACGCAGGGTTTCTTAGGGGAGCTCGTTTTTCATCCCTCCCCACAAACGCCTGCTCAACCGAAGACAACATTCCCTTCCCATGCTTAGCCAACCACATTGTACTTTCCATATTCTGGAAAGTTGACCTTGACCACAAGGTAATCTGATAATTACTCGATCTGCATTAAACACTGGGAAAGCTTTCTGACCTCTTATAAATGTTAGATTCAGAGCGGCAAAAATAAGATTTAGTCAAATTTTAGAATACTCCATGCACTGCATAACCTTAGCGAAGGAAAGAAAAGAAGGGAAACGGTGACTCTAGGGTCACGTTTTAGTCGCGTTTAGCCTGTCAACACTTTATTGCACAACTGTTAATTGCTCACTTACCACTCAAATAAAACAATGGGAAAGGAATGTTGTTTTCGGTTGAGCAGGCGTTTGTGGGAAGGGATGAAAAACGAGCTCCCCTAAAAACGTCTGCGTGGGAGGCTACGAGAAACACGGCTGTTAGTAAAATAGGTAATGGCGTCATTTCGTTGCTATGACAACTCCGATGTTATTGTAACCCTGATCATAACAAATTTTCATCTTTTATCTTACAGTGATGTAACACGGGACGATTTGCAACGACGAGTTTTAGCGGAACGCAGCATTACAGTATTGTCTCGACTGGCTGCCACATTGTTCCAACATTGCTAAGCAGTTTTGCGCTCAAAATCGTCGTTGCGAATCGTTCTGTGTAACGTCACTTTTATACAGCTATGGTGGTAATTTTTTATGCTGAAACTTGGGAGATATTGATCCAGAAGAACCCTATTGAGCCACCTCAATAGCGATCGAGTTTGAACAAAATGTGTTAATTGTTTTGTTTCTTGTTAATTTGCCAGGAGGAGACGTTAAGACTTAGGAAGAATGTGACGCAGCTTCCTTCGCCAGCTGAGGCGTCTTCAGCTAGTGTGACTACAGTGCCGTCACCACAGCAGCAGCAGCAGCAGACAGCGGCAGCGAATATGCCACCTGTGGCAATAGCCTATCTTGTCATAGCATTGATATGTGGAATAATTATTGGTAAATTTCTCTTGTAAAAGACAGTGGCTCTTAGAGTTATTTTAACGTGACAATTTTAGATCCTAATAAACAGATGTTGAAAGGCGTTTTTCCATCAACCAACAGCAATGTCCTTGAGGTGCAGCAACGTTTGCTTTGAAAAGTGTTCAACACAATGATTCACCTTGGAAATATATATATATTATCATTTTTCCCCTCCTAATTCGACTCTTTTTACTTTCAAACGCTTTTGTGATCTCATCAGTGATGTAACCACAGGACTCAGACTTGGAAGTGAAAACTAATTACAATGTATGGTCAATTTTAAGTAAAGATCATCGACAAACTAAGTGTAGTGATGAGTAGTGTGAGAGTATGCTTCGCCACCATAGGGCAGTGTCTATGCCAGTAACAGAAACATTATTACTGCGGACGAATATGGTGATGAATACATTTTTCCGCCATTTGACAAGTTAAAATTTTTTTTTTTTTTGCTCATGTGAGAATAATATCAAACACTTTTCGGTGATGGGCACGGGTCCGATAAGCAAACAGTTAACGCTTCTTCAAAAAAGGGATGATGTTAAAGTTTCCTTTTAACAGTTAATAAATGTCTGATCTTTCAATGATCACAGTGTTCATTTCAACTCATTTCTTTCTTGCGACTTCTTTCTTTTCTCCTATCAGCGTCAAACTGACACTCCTCTTTACAGTAAGAGTTGCACAAATTTGCAAGATTTAAGCACTAAACCACACTTTTTGGCGTCGGAAATGCAACACCAAAATATTCTCACAATTGTTCGTCATTTTCTGTTTTTCTTTTTTAGAAAAACTGTTTGCCAAATTTGAAGACCGCGTACCACTCACTGTACACCTTGCTTAAGGCTTCCATTCCAAAAGGCTCCCTGTTCAGACTTTTAGAATCGGCACGCCGAAAACCATATACTGTTGGGCCGGCAGTACTTATCCGATAAGCCATATAAGAATGTTCCCCTCTCACCACCCCCGTGACTACCTCAAATATAGTCAATTGCCTTACTCGAGTTTTTTGCGTTAGTGTGTGCCGGGTGTTCAGAATTGGGGAGTGGTACGTACGATAATGGAGATCGGAAAAAGAATACCCTACTCTGCGCTGGTTTTTCCTGTTCCCTCTCTTTGCGTCTTCCCCACTACGTTAAAGCCTGCAACAAGCTACAATAGCTTGAAGTCGACAAGCTTTTTTCAATGTATGTTTGAGGCAAAAAAATGTGTGTTCAACAAAGAACAAATTCAAAAGGACCGGTAAATATACGGGACGTTCATTGAATTGAGTAAACGATGATGTTATACGCTACAATTTTAGGATCATTTATTTATAGAGCTAGGCACGTACGGTCCCGTTTGGACAATAGATTTCCCAAGTGTTCAACAAAACCGCGTTGTAAGCCCATTTTCAGTTTTCCAAACGCTTTTTTCTAAACACCATTTTTCGAGAAGAATTTGAACGAAGCATATAGCGTAGACTGGAAAAGTACTTATTATCTTAAAAAAAAAACCTTAAGAAAGTGATCTGGAGGTCCAATGATTTCTTAAACCGCGGCCTAAGTTTAGACTTCGTTTAAATAACCGACCCAATGTTCACTTCACGGCCATCCAATATGCCTGTGGGGCCTGGGTACGAGATCGGTTATATTGTGGTCAGAGCTTTCACAATTTTCCTTTTTTTCTTTTTTCTGTACTTCTTTTCTTTTCTTTATGTTATTTTTCTTTTTTTTTTTCTTTTCATTTTTATTTTCACTTGCTGTCGATGTCGGAAAACACACTGAATATTTCACGGAAAAAAGGGTTGCCCAGGAGCCTGATTTAATATTCGAACCGGTAGCGTATGGTTTTGTATACCTTTGTTCCGATCCGACCAGCTGTTCCGACTGTTATTTGATATGGATATCATTTCCCTTCCAGTCTCAAATCCAGCATTAAAGAAAAATATTACAGGTAACTTGAACAAACTGTTTACTGTTATGTTCCTGAATCTTTCTCGGTACTACCTCGAAAGAGTGCGTTGTTTGTGACTCAGTTTTTTCATTTTTTTATTTGTTTGTACAGGTCAATATATTACCCTTTTTATCATCATTTCAACGTCAGTATCAGCGGCAATGCACTAACAAGTCAGACAAACGTCTGTAAAATAAAATCTCTCTCAACAGCAGCTAATACCTGACAAATGAAGCAGTGACCTGTAAACAAGTGCTGGATATGCTTTGCTTCTCAAGCGTGTCTTGAATGAAAATATCACAGGTACTTAAGGTCGCGCCTGGTGGGAACAAAGCGGATAAAATAGCCACAAATACACAACTTAATCATCATATCTTTATATTGCTATAACAGCCAGTGTTTTGACTGAAGCGGTTGCGGCGTTAAAAAGCTAAAATGGAAGGCGAAAAGCACTGTGAGGTGGAATTCGAACGACAACGCTCCCACAGTGTTCCAGTTATATCGCGGATAGAGAAAGTACCGGATGACTGCAGCGGTTCTAAATCTGTGAGTTTTGAGAGAGAAACGAGGACAGAGAATCGACGATTTTCTGAAACACGACAACCAAAAAACACGACTTCACGTAAAAGTGTGAGAAGACTCTCAAGTGGGGGGTTGATGCGAAATCAGAAGAGGAGACCGTATGCCAAAACAGCGATCATAGATAGAAAACAAACTTCTCATCACGAAAAGCAGCCGAACCTAAGAGGTTTCACTACAGGAATAATAACTAATCCCGCACCGCGTGCTCTGACTCACGCTCAAAGCCGGCGCGAACGTTCGAAATCCTTACCGTTATTAAGGAAGAGTTATGAACAGGACCACAAATATTATGACGGAGAAATTTGGAGTCCAGCTCCCAAAGAAAAACAAAGCTCGGATTCAAAGACTTACCGTAAGATGTTGCATCAACGTAGCATGTCTCTCCCAACGTGTTTACAATATGAGCCTAAGCCGGAACAAAGCCAGAAGCATGAGAAGGAATCGGCGCTGTTTAGTACAATGCGGAACGCATCAACTTCAGCTAACTTTGAGAATTTTGTTTTTGACTTAAATAAACTGTATTTCGACAGTTTAAAACAAAGTGATCAAGAAAAGCAAGAAATGTTTTCAGTAGAGAGAAGAAGATCCTGGCCGTTCTGTTGGAGCAAAAGTGTAAGTAACCAATCTATGGAATCTTCAGGACAGTTCTCCGCTAATTTTGATATTGGACTTAATAGACAAGAGTCGTTGTTAGGAAACTCTAACAACATCAGAATTCAAAGAAGTAAATCTCTCCCGTTGATGGGAATTTCTTTCTTTGGTGAAGTTAGAACAGAAAAGAAGATAAAAGATGAAGTTTCTAGAGCGGATAATGGATGCTCGCACGAGGCTAGTTTCCGTTGTGGTGACGTACTTGGCGAAATTATTAATAGAAAAGAACATTCACGAGCAAAGAAAAAAACTCCAATAATTCGCTCAAAATCCTGGCCCTTCGTGTTGAGCATTGAAAGTGAAGCAAAGATGTCACCGAATTTAACAGCAAAAAACTCACTGATGGAGAGTTTACCGCGTTATCACAAGTTACAAGACGCAGTTGCAAACAGAAGAAAGGCAAGATCTCTACCTTGTATTTACGCCGGGAGTTTTCCCAAGGAGGAGACTTTGTTTAAGGTTCAGAACATTCAGTCAAAAACTGACGAAACTAGCCTTCACCAAAAAGAAAATAGCGAGGAATCTGTATTAATCACCGAAAAAGTCAACGGAAATATTTCACTACTGATGCCGTTAAAACGGGCGAGGTCGCTTCCTTTGAACCTATTGGAAGAACAACAGCAAAGTGGAAATGACCATATTAAAAACAAAACAAAAAAGGAAACTTTCGGCAAACATCCAGATTTCATCGGCAGAGAAAAGGCGAAATCACTGCCTAATATTTTGGAAGGAGAACACAGTCCGAGTTTTTCACCTATTGCGATGCCGGAACTTCTGGAAAAAGACAACAACATTTCTCAGACAGACACAGCAGAGGAAAATATTTACAAAACAGTTGTTGAGGTAGAAAGTGAGGAACAAAACATTTACCCGAGTGAAGGTAACGGCATTTCCACTGAACAAGACGAAATTGGCGCCAATTCAGAACCTCTCGACACTCGAGCAGATTTCTTGAAACAACAGGAAGCAAACTTAGACAAGCATCAACCAAACCTATCATACCCTCATAAACTTCGGAAGAGGGCCCGAGGCTTTTCAGTCCCCTGCTTATTTAAAATGGAAAAAATTATCGAGGAGCCGAGCGATATTGAACTTCGTTCCAGGGCGCGAGGCTTTTCAATCCCTGGTTCATTTCAAATGGAAAAAATTCTTGAGGAGCCGAACGATAGTGACGGCTCTCAGATGCAAAGAATTTGCGGTGAATATGAGTATAATGAACAAAATGACACTAACAGCGAACCTAAAACGGCAGAAATTGTTGAAAACAACAGGCTGTCTGACAAATCATCAATTGAATATGATTTCGGTGCACCGAGCTGTAATGATAATAGTGCTGTCTTTTTCCATGAAAAATCAAGAGGCAAACAAGAGGGAAGTCATCAAATGTACGACCACGAAAATTATTTGCAAAAATATGACAAGGTAGTTAGCCAGGCTTTAGCGAAAGTAAATCAACTTGAGTTCTCAAAATCATCCTCTGGTCTTCACCGTGCAGCTGCTAACGGAGATTTGGAATGTGTTAAACGATTGGTCGAAAAAGGTGATGACGTGAATGGTGTTGACGAATCAGGCTGGCCTGTCCTGCACGCAGCTATCACAACCGGAAACTTTGATTGTGGCGAATGGCTCATGGAAGCCGGGGCTGACCTAATACATTACACAAACTTTGTTATTGACGAATACAGAATTCTAACTCAGCAGGTTTATCAAAATTTCTAGCTCTAGGACGATCATTCAGCTCTACACTCGCAGCTTGACCACAATCCGTCAAAGGTAACGGTAACTTGAAGACGTGTATGCTGCTGTTGAATTTTCTAAGTTTGAACGTTTCATTTCAAAAATGTCAGGAACACATATTATTGATAAATAAACAAAAGCAACAGAACGATGTTTAAAATGTACTAAGCACAAGATGAGGACACCTTTTCTCTTTAAAAAATATTCGCACTCAGTAAGACAACCTTCAAACGCGACAAGGTAACCAGTTAAAATAGCCCATAACTTCGGTTTTAACACTGCTATTTTCAGTGTGCATGAACAAACCCAGACGGACTAAATATTAAGCAACGCTTTTAATTGCCTGTTAGTCTTGTCTCTCTTAGTT